CATATATATACACATGCATATACACGTGTATGGTAATAATTTATTGGTCTTAACTTTCAAATTACAAAGTAATATATACTATGTTAAAAAGCTAAATAAAGTGATGAAGTTAGACTATTGTATTATCTCATCCCTCCACCCCTATTACTGAGGAAACTGATATTGGCAGTTTGGTGTATGTGTATTCTTCCATGCTTTTCTCTCATAAAATATGTGTGAATGTTTATAGAGGTCTTTTTAAAAAAGAAAAATTGGATCCTACTGTACACTTGGCTGTGGAACTTTATCACTTTGGGGGGGTATATCATCAACCTCCTTCTTGTTCAGTATGGTAGAGATCATTTTAATTGCCACATAATATATCTTAGTATGTAGAGACCACAACTTATTCCAACCATTTTCCTATGTTGGATTTTTAGGCTGTTTTATGTTCTCTCCCCCACTACAATAAAGCTAAATAAACATCTATATGCTTGTATCTTTGCAAGTTTTATAAGAAATATCTCCAAAGGGGGACTTACTGGGTCAAAGACTATACCTGGTTTTCATTTTAATAAGAAATGCCAGATTACTTCCCCTTAAGATTAAAGAACTGTGAAGAGTCAGTAGATTTTTATGGGCCTAAAAGTGTAAAAAATAATAGAAAAAAAAAGTTTTTTCCTTAGTATGACTGTTTTATAGATTTTAGAGAATTATATGCTACAACCAGATTAAGCATCTCTCCTTACTGTACTATTGTATAGTACTCTTGAATGCTTTTCAAGTATGTTAGCTAATGCCCTTTTTTAAGAAATAAAAGTTTAATGCTTAACTATCGTCATCATTGTCTTAAGATATTACTCTATCACTATTGTTATTTACTTTGATTATGGTTTGTCTTTGAAATAAATAATTAATGGGTTGCTTTAATCTTGACAGGAGGTTGAAACCTACTTTTTTGAAGGTTTGCTGAAATGGAGAGAATTGAACCTTACGGAACACTTTGGTATTTTCTACTTTGTTTCTATTTTAATACCTGTCATTTGCACTTTATATGTTCAAAACAACTAAATCATGGTATGATAGGAAAACAGAACTTCTTTTTTTTCATCCAGGGAAATTTTACAAAGAAGTTATTGACAAATGTCAATCATTCAATCAGCTGGTCTATCATCAAAACGAGATAGTTCAGAGTTTGAAGACTCACCTGCAAATCAAGAACAGTTTTGCTTATCAACCCCTTTTGGAGTAAGTAGCATGTTGAGAGAAAGCTCATGGATATTTGTCTGAACTTTATGAATGGTTGTGTTTATAGCTACATATGACTTAGATCTGATGTTTAAAAATAAGAAATTACCTTTTCTGTTAGTCTGAATACTAGTGCATTGCCATAAAGCTGAATCTTAGGCATATATTTTTTTGCTTTTGTTTCATACTTTTCAGAGAGCCCCGTTTTTCTTTAATACAATAGGAATGGTTGACCATAATTTGTGATGGAATGTACCTTCTTGCTTTAGCCTTATCTTTGCTGAATTCTTGAAATATGAAAAACGTTATACCTCTCTTGAGATTTGATTCGGAAGGTTTAATTAATCCTGTCATCATAGGCGATCAACTATCGTTTATGAAATAGACTTGCAGTATTTGTTTTTTGGTCTGTATGTCTCACAAATGTTACTTTTCTTGTTGTTAATCCAGTTTGGTTGTACAGCTGGCACGAGATCTGCAGACAGACTTCTATCCACATTTTCGGGATTTTTTTCTGACTGTCACCTCAATCCTGGAGACTCAGGACACTGAGTTGTTAGAATGGGCTTTCACCTCGCTGTCGTATCTGTACAAGTACCTGTGGAGGCTCATGGTGAAGGACATGCCCAATATATACAGGTGACCCTTTTCTCTCTAACAGAGGGCTTATCTTTTTTCTTTCTTTCCTTTTTGTTTTTAATTTGTATTGTATTTTATTGACAATTCAGTCCTGTTGGGTAAGTTAATAAAGTTATGCAAGCATCACCACAATACAGTTTCAGAACGTTTCCATCATCTCCAAAAGATTGCTCATGCCTGTTTGCAGTCAGTCCTGCTCCCCATCTGCATTAGTTCTGTGAGCAAAAGCAATGTATGCATGTTCAGTGTTCAAGATTGCCTCTGTGAAAACAGCTGGGTGTTCGAAGATATTAATACTCCCTACGCCAGTGATGGCGAACCTTTTGAGCTTGGTGTG